TAGATGAACTGCAATTTCAAATTTCATGGCTAGCATAGTGGAATGAGTTTGTCATTTTTAAGTTGCGCCTGAAAGATATAGGTCATATGTCTGCCCATAACGGTGATGAACTCTGGATAGAATTCCTCATGAGGCTAACCAGATAGCAAAAGTGACTGACACACTAGAGCACAAAAATTAATGGTAACATTGAATGGAATTTATTACCACAAGAAATCATTCTTAGGAGGACTCATGAATTATTGTGTACTGATTTCTAGAGGTTATTGAAGGATTTTAGAGGTCTTTGTACAATATGTAATCATAACTGGGGAGGTCATTTATTTATGAAACTGTTATTAACTGATTTTATCTATTTAAAAGAATACTGGAGTTGTTTTAATTTGAAGCCATCTCACTATATTTAATAAAGTGAAAGTCAAGTACCAGTGTAACTGAAAGCTCCAGACAGACAGAAAGATATAAGTACCTACTAATATGTTTCTGTTTTTATTTCCTTTGCTGGTTATTTCCATGTCTTTGCATAATATTTTTATATGACTACTTCTCAATTTTACACTGAAGAATGATGAATTTTCTTTTTTTTTCTCCTCCACTGGAGTCTCACTGATTCTCACAGCAGCACCTAAGAACCACATAAGCAGTACTGTATTTCAGGGTCAGCTTTACGTTGGTTTTCTTCCATAACAGATAAAGATGTAGGTTGTGCACATCAGCCTCTCTTCTCTCTTTCTAATGGGGTCCTATATTTGTTTTTAATATGTTTGACAATTACCTTTATAACGTTAAGTATTATATTTATAACATTTTTCCTAGTTCCCCTACTCTTATCTTCAGTTCTTCTTTTCTGTCCCTTTTCTCTAGTTCTTTTTTACAAAGTTCTATTTTAATAGTTCCCTGCAATGACATTTCACTGAATACTATGGTCTTGTCTGCACCTACATTAACTTGTGACCTCTTGCCTTTATAAAAAAAGGTCTTCTCCCTTAACTGCCCTGAGTTTCTACTGTTGCGATTTTCTTTCTTCCCATACTTTTCTTTCCCCACTCCTACTACTGTTTCTCTATCTCCAATTTTTGCACTTCTTCCTCTTTCTATATCCAACTCAAAAGTTGGTTTCTACAGCTCAGTTATTAAACTTCGACTCTTTTGTATATACTCTGGAAGCATTAATCTATTACTATGGCTTAAATTTTCACTTCTTTGTAGATATTTCAAACTGTATATCCCTAGACTATTTTCTTATTCTAACTCTTGTCTGTTATCTCCTATATTAAAACAATTTCTAAGCTCCATGAGATCAGAAAAAAAAATGAACTTGAGATTTAAATCCACCATTAACTAATACTGGGTTTTTTTCTGTTATTTGGGTAAGGCCATCTGCAAATAAGAAATATAGTACCTAACCTACCCATTATAACAAATTGTTCTTAGGTTCAAATATGAAAAAAAGATGTGAAAGTGTTTTATAAATGGCAAATTATTATACAAATATAAGACTTTATTACTACTATTACTGCCTTATGCCTTCGTTTATAATACTCCCCTTTTTTCTTGCAATTGGTTTCTCCTTCTGCAGTTGTATTCTTCAAAGCTCAACTTTTCCTCAAAACACTGTAACACTTATTTGCTTTCTATTTATTGTTTTGATATTAATATTGTGTTCCAATTCTTTCTAACTACTGTAACACTCAGAGTATTGTTCTGCATGTAAATGATTAACAACTATTTGTTGACTGATTAACTTAAAATTTTGTATTAAGTCAAAAGTTTATATTAGAAATTCTATCATATTTAGGATAATTATCAATCACGTGTCAAACTGTTCAAACCAATGAAGATATAAATATCATGTCTATTTCTTTCAAAGAACTTAAAGATTTGCCCTAAAGAATGAAAATGCCAGCAGCTTTTGTTTTAGCTGTCCTCTAAAGAAAGTATCCTTCCCTGAAAATAGGAACATTCAGTATATTACATAAAAACAAGAAGCTTCACATTCTTTGCTCATCTATGTAATTTACTCAGTTATTATTATGATTATGCATTGTATATATATTTTGCTAAAAAGTAAGCCACATGATGACTAAAATCTTTAATTTGCTTACTAATATATTTAAAATTCCCAAGAATGTGAGAACTCAATATTTATTGAAAAAGTGAATGCTGCATTTGTTAGAGAACTACCAAAAAATGAATGAAGGAATTTCTCAGCAGTTGTATAAACACAGCTGTCACTAGATCATATGAAATTTAAGTATGTCCAGCTCATAAATTATTTATTCATACCACAAAGGTGAAGTAATATTTCAGCTGGGTTATAAAAGATGAGCAAAATTTTGACAGAGGCAACGGAGAAGTTTATATCCAAAAACAACCAGTTAGTTAAAAGCAGAACTGGGCTGTGATATTACATTATGAGATGCAATAGTAGAACATGATTCTGAAGGATGAAACTAATTAAAGGAGAAAACAATTTACAGCTGAGAAGCCAGTCAAAGTGGATGATGGGAGAAACACAGAGTTGGCAAGTGGTATGATAAGCATGATGACAGGCTAAGGGAAATAAAAGCAACATAGAATATGTGATGCCTCTTTACAACACTTTTTTTTTGTTAGAGATACTATTTATGTTCTTAGCCTACTTTTTGATGGGATTATTTGTTTTGTTTTGTTTTTCTTCTTGTTGATTTGAGTTTGTTGTAGATTCTGGACATTATTTATTTGTCATATATATAGATTATGAAGATATTTTACCCACTCTGTGGGTTGTGTGTTTACTCTGCTAACTGTTCCTTTTGCCATACAAAAGCTCTTCAGTTTAATTAAGTCCCAGATATTTATCTTTGTTTTTATTTCATTTGCTTTTGGGATCTTGGTCATGAAATGCTTGCCTAAGCCAATGTCTAGAAGGGTATTTCCAATCTTATCTTCTGGAATGTTTATAGTCTCACAAATCACCACTAAATAACTTACTAATGTAACCAAATACCACTTGTTCCCCAATGACCTATGGAAATAAACATAAAATAAAATAAAAAATAAAGATATACTAAATGATAAAATAGGTGGGAGGAAATGCTGGTTTGTTCTATGATAACTTTTTGATTCATTTTTAAATTGTATGCACTTTGCAAAGATTTTGTTTTCCTATTTTTTTAACTGTTTTACTGTGTTGCTACTTTGCTATGCCCAAGCATAGAAACGCCTTCATCACCCACCATGAGATTTGGTGTCTTCTTGTTGACTTCTGAATCTCAATAATAAATTCTAATTCCACATGCTGTCTTCCTTAGAAGATGTCTTATTTTCATAGGTATGTATGTGCCATGGTGGTTTGCATGCTCTGCACATGTACCCTAGAACGTAAAGTATAATAAATTTAATAAAAAAGACAGTCCTGTCTTGGTGGCTCACACCTGTAATCCCAGCACTTTGAGAGGCAGAAGTGGGTGGATTGTTTGACCCCAGGAGTTTGAGACCAGCCTGGGCAACACAGCAAGACCCTATCTCTATTAAAAACAGGATTTTTTTAAAAAAGAAAATGTCTTTTTAAAAAAGTCTTTTTAAAAAGAAATGTCTGTTTAAAAAAGAAATGCTCTAGAATATGACATTTCTAGTGCCTCTCCCAAATCACAATATACAGGTAGAAGTTATGCCACACATGTGTTTGAGAATAAAACAAGCCAACATTTTGTTTCAATTATTTGGGATGCATAATGACATAGAAAATATACTGAACTGTGAATCAAGAGTGCTATAATAAGACATATTTCTGAGAATAAAAACAAGATCCATATAATAAAAAATCAAGAAATAGGAACAGATAATTTATACAGGAGAAAACAAATATAAGAGGTAAAATCATGAAAAAATATTGGCCATGGTTAGAAATCAAAGCAACCCCTAGAAATTATTTTGTACCTAGTAATGTGACTATTATACATATATAAGTCTTATGTATATTAACTATGTCAATACATAAAATATAATTTTTACATGTATTGTATATGTATGATACGTCTTACAACTGTTGAAGCTTCAGTGACAGCAGTACATTTACTCACTGCTGACTTCAGAAAGGGACCAATATAAACCAGCTTAACCTTCCTCTGGACCTATATGGGAATATGTAAGAAAAGTCATAAATGGTAAAATAATATTTGACTCAATAATCCCACCCCTAAAAATATAATTAAAAATTTTTAGAAAAAAAAACAAACTACGCATAAAGAACATGATTGTAATACTGTCTATTTGAGAAAAACTTTGGTATAAATGTATAATATATAAAATTATACTTATAAATTAATGTATAAAATATATATGTATAATGCATAAAATTAAAGGAGGTGTTAGTAATATCTGAAACTGATTAGTATGCATTCATTGAAATAATAATGATGGAGCCTAGGGAAATAGAGGGACAAGTTTGTATTATGAGGTTAAATTAAATAAGCAAGGAAAAATACTATGGGATTGCAACTAAACAAAAATCTTCATGTTCATAGATAAAGAATATGCATTAATATGCAAATTTGAAAATAATTGTGTTAGTGTGGTGGAATTTGGGGTGACTACAAGATATTTTAAATATATTTTCATTTTTTACATTATATTTTTATTTTTAAAGTTCTAATCAATTAATGTAGTTGTGAAAGTGTAGGTTAACGGAGTTACATTGCTGGGCCTTGGTTCTTGTACAAACACTGATGCTTGGACTACCTTTCAGTACTTCTCACCCTTCAGAGTTCATTAAGATTATTCAGGGAGCTTGTTGAATGTGCATATTGCTGGACTTTATTGAGATTTTGACTTGGTAGGACTGGGGTGGAGATCAGAGATCTGCATTTTTAGTAAGAAATAATAAAAATGATATTCAAGTTCTCTTTCATCTATTACATTCTGTGCTTTGGTGTGATCCTTAACACACCAAAGATGTCTTGAATAATAGACAAATAAAATCTTTCTTTTTATTTGCATTGTTCTACTTTGTTCCTCAGCCTGAAGCACCATGGATTCATAAGCTGCTTTAAAGAACAACTGAGCACTTGGTTTCACAGAACGTCCTTACTACAGTAAGCACCAGCTCCTCTCATATGAGCACTTCTACCTCTGTGGAACTGAAATAAAAACGTCTTCCATGAGTATCAAGAGCTGCTTTTTTTTGGCATGTAATTTACAGAAGTGATTTATAGACATTTTTAAAAAATGTATCAAATGTCTCCATTATTCAGACCAAAGTAATGTAGCATTTTACCTCATGTTCTGAAGCTTCAGTCTGGAAACTATTTCTAAATTTGGGTTCAAATGTACTCCCCTTCAACATTCTTATAATATTTCATTAAACTTCTCTTTAACTTAGCATTCAAACTAAAAGTAAACAGAGAATGAAAGGGAGGAAGCAGATCTTCCACACCCTGAAGAGAAATAGAGAACTATATATAGATAGTAACACCTGACAAAAATTTTTTGTTTGATCAAATTTTAGTCATGCTCCTGAACCATCCCCTAGGCCTATCTAAGCATTTCCATTATAAAATCTGTGTTAGCAAAAAAGCTGCTAAGTCAGTTTAGCAAGAGTATTATAACCTCAATAGCTGATTCTTCAATATATGATCAGGTTTCTCATGTTCCACCATCCTCCAGGAGATTTCTCAACACCCTGGAATCCTGTTAACTCAATATAGCCATAATCCTCCCTTATCCCCAGTGTTACCTCTCAGTAATTTTCCATCCACTGACTGACACCCTGCTCTTTGGCTATAAATTCCTATTTGCTCATGCTGCATTCATAGTTGAGCCCAATCTCTCTTCTCCAAGGAAACACCCGTTCCCATGGTTCCTATACCTATTATGATAGCTCCCCTTTGAAGAAAGTCTGCTTACATCTTCAATGAGTGTCAGTGAATACTTTTTCTTTAATACCTTATCCCCTCCACACACATATAGAATTCTAAACCTATTTACTTTTACTTCTTTTTCTCATTTCATTTATTTATTTAATAATAAACTGCAAATGTTCATGAGATAATAACACACATTTCTCAATCACTTTACATATTTCTCTGAATATGCATGTCACATTATTTGCTTAGAGCAGGATACTGGTGTGGAAGGATAGAGAGAGAAATAGAGAGAGATAAGTATGTAGGCCTCCTTCATTTCACCCAGTCTGCTTTCTGCCTTTTGGTTATAATCTTGACTTCAGTTTTCTCTCAGAAATGACAACATTTCAGATGCAATTCTTAAAGAGGTGTTATTTTTCTAAACCATATAATAACTTTACATATATCTACATGACATATATTTTAAAAAGTTACAAGAAAAGTTTAGAAACAATCCAATTGGCTCTCAACAAGTGATTAAATGATTTGCTGAATATATAATAGTACTAAAACACAATGGAATGCTGTGTGAATGTGAAAAAGAATAAGAAAGCTCTCTATGTAGTGTCCTGGGAAGTGCTTCAATATAAATTAAAGTGAAAAAAATCAAGGTGCAAAAGAGATGATATGCTATGTTATTTATAGTGTTTTTAAAAGTAGGAAAGGGCTGACATATGTTTGCATTTGCCTATGTTTACATAAAGAGACTGTGGTAGGATGCAAAATAAAATAATAAAAGTGGTTACCCATAAGGAAGGAGTGGTATTTGGAGAAATAATAGGTTAGAGATTGAGATGAAGTTTAGACCTAATACTAATATTCAGCCAGTACACATTGAGTGAGCCGTAATGGTTGAAAAAATACAACCATGTTTCTAAGTCAGTTGGTAAATGGCAGCTACACTGTTCACCACCCTTTCTCCCCTGACACCTTGAATGCTGCCCAGCCTTCTGTCCTGGAACATCAGGGATATTCCAGGAATCAAAAGTAAAGACATAATTACAAGTATAAAAGACTTATTTGGTGAAACACTTGTGAAAGGTAAAAGGAGAGACAGCAGAAGTAGGCAAGAAGAGACTGTAGACTGCCATGCAAGCGGGCATCCATGAAAGAAGAAAGGAAGCAAAAGATCCTCACCTGTATTGCAGCTCAGGGAAAATCTCAGCCAGGTCAATGAGAAGCCCAGAGCAAAGACTGCTCTTTAGAGAAATCCATGTTAGGCAGAAATATCCAGTCATTAGTACTCTCACATTGCTTTATTGCAGTCTTGAAAAAGTCCAGTGAGAGTGTAGCTGCAGCTTGAATACTAGTGATTCTCAAATTAGCAGAGGCTGCCGGCTGATGCTACTCCTCAGAAAAGTCTCCCCTGAAGTGTTCAGCAATTTCCCTTGACCATTACAGCACAGATCTATTTATTTATCCGTATTCACTCCTCAAAAGTTCTATGGGCTCTTCCTCCTTAGGAAAAACTTAAAAGAGGAAGGGTAGAGGAAAAACCACAGTCCTTATCCCTCCATTTGATCTTAGGGCCGCAGCTGGTCTTCCTCCTTGTACATTGTTCATCCTAAATTTCTCTCATTCTCTTATGTATCTTGGTGTCTTACCTGGTGTTATAACCTGAAATTTCATTCCTGAAGGGTCTGAACCCTTAGTAATTGCAGTCTTCTCAGGCTTCATTCACAGTTAAAATTGGGCAAGGGATTGCAAAGAGAAGCCCAAATGGATCTTGTGACTTCTGCCAATATTCTTTTCTTTCCACATTGCAAAAAGCAGCTCTACCTCCCCTCTGCTTATCAGATTAAATTGCCCTTCACAAAATGGTGATTCTTTTCAACATGTTGTTTCTAGGTATAAAGAGTAAAGAGTTTCCTAGCAACAGCTGTAACTTGTCCTTCAATGGGACTGTTGCTATGTCCCTTGGCAAACTTTATGTCCCTCTTTTGGGATAAGGACTTACAACTATGTAGATCCTAGAGCTGCTGTGAAAAGAAGCACATGCGATCCCAGTGAGTCATTTTGAGAGTGGTGGCCAGTGGGACCACTCTTAATTCTATTTTTTATGGCATATGTGTTTTTCCTACTGAGGATAAGACACCATTTAGAAATACCTGTTTTAATTTTTATACTGCATCTTACTCTACAAGATGGAGCTTTATCTTGCAGAGTATTGCATTAGAGCTAATACTTCCTCATTGTGACTTCAGTGGGTCATTCAAGCGCTCTGTGAAGTCAGCTGCTTATGAATAGTGCAGTATGTAGTATGATCATGTACTCCATGATCATGGGCCCATTTACATAGCTCCCTTACAGCTTAATCCCCTGGTCAGATGTATTCTTCCTCAAGGCTACCCCTGAGTTTGGGTGTAAGGTAAGCGCTGTTCATTTTCAGCTAGACCTCAAATATTCAGCCAAAATATTTATAAATCAAGCTCAGGCATTTTTTTTCCTCCATCAGATGGTCATAGGTATAAGATAAAGAAGGATGCTGGAGCAAGCATAGTGGATAATATGGATGTCTGTGGCACCTGCTCATGAAGCTCACTTACACCCTCTGGTCCTACTCAGACATGATCCCAGAGTGACCACATTATACTTTTGGATACCTTTACAGCAGCACCACACTCCCAGTACCAATTTACTGTGTTAGTCTGTTCTCACATTGCTAATAAAGACATACCGGAGACTGGGTAATTTATAAAGGAAAGAGGTTTAATGGACTCACCGTTTCATATGGCTAGGGCAACTTCATAATCACAGCCAAAGATGAAAGCAGAAAAAATGGACATTTTACGTGGTGGCAGGCAAGAGAGCTTCTGCAGAGGAACTCCCATTTATAAAACCATCAGATCTCTTGAAACTTATCCAGTATCACCATAACAGCATAAGAAGGACCTGCACTATTATTCCATTAACTCCCACCGGATCTTTCTCATGACATGTGGGAATTATGGGAGCTAAAATTCAAGATGAGATTTGGGTAGGGACACAGCCAAACCATATCAACAAATAATGAGCACAGTGTCTGATAGGTAGTTTTTCAATCCTCATCCTCCCACCACCCTCCATTCTCAAGTACTCCTCAATGTCTGTTGTCTGTTGTTGCCTTCTTTCTGTCCATATACTTGATGTTTATCTCCGACTTATAAGTGAGAACATGCAGTATTTAGTTTTCTGCTCTCGTTGAGTTCACTTATAATAATGGCCACCAGCTCTACCATCTTGTTGCAAAGAACATGATCTCTTTCTTTTGTATGGCTGTGTAGTGTTCCATGGGACATATTATCACATATTTTATATCCAGTCTACTGTTGATGGACATTTAGGTTGATTTCATATCTTTGCTAGTGTGAATAGTGCTGTGATTAACAGAAGCATGCATATGTATTTATGGTAGAATGATTTATATTTCTGTGGGCATATATGCCTAATAATTGGAATGCTGATTTGAAAGGTAGTTTTGAATTCTTTGAGGAATCACAACAATACTTTCCACAAAGGCTGAACAAATTCACACTTCCATCAGTAGTGTAAAAGTGTTGCTTTTCTCTGCAACCTTGCCAGCATCTGTTATTTTTTTGACTTTTTAATAATGACTATTCTGGCTGGTGTGAGATAATATCTCATTGTGGTATAAATTAGCATTACTCTAATGATTAGTGATATTGAGCATTTATTCATATTTTTGTCAGCTACATGTCTGTCTTCTTTAGAGAAATCTCTGCTCAAGTCTTTTGCCCACATTTTAATGGGGCTGATTATTTTTGCTTGTAAATATGTTTAAGTTCTTTATAGATTCTGAATGCTAGACTTTTATTGGAGGCATAATTTGCAAATATTTTCTCCTGTTCTGTAGGTTGTCTGTTCATTCTGGTGACAGTGTCTTTTGTCATGAGAAAACTCTTTAATTAGGTTGCATCTGTCAATTTCTGTTTTTGTTGCAATTGCTTTTTATATCTTCATTGGTGAAATCACTGACAGTTCCTATATTCAAAATGGTATTTACTAGGTTATCTTTCAGCATTTTGTACTTTTATGTTTTACATGTAAATCTTTGATACAGCTTGAGTTGATTTTTTTCTATGGTGTAGGAAGGAGTTCAGTGTCAATATTCTACATGTGGCCAGCCAGTTATATGAGAATCATTTATTGAATAGGAAGTCTTTTCCCACTGCGTGCTCTCCTCAACTTTGACAAAGATCAAATGATTGTAGGTGTGCAGGATTATTTCTGTACTCTCTGTTCTGTTCATTGGTCTATGTTTCTGTTTTTGCAC